TAATTTTTTAATTAGTAACCTTTAGCCTACCATTTTATTTTAATATAATTAACTCTTTTATTATCACTTTATAATTGACTTTTATTTAAAACAATTATTAATTAACCTTTTTAATTAATCAACTTTTAATTTAATAAGCTATACGTTTTATATAATATTATTCAACAACTTTTAAAAAAAAGAAAAAACATAACTTACATTTTATTAATGACTAAAAACTAGTTGCATATTTAATCTCTTTTTTCTAAATTAAGCAAAAAAAAATTTATAAACAATTAACAAATCTTTTATTAGCTTATTTATTTTATTAATTTGTTTTTTTCAATTTTAATACCTTTTTCTCTTAATAATATAATTCGCTTAAAACCCTTTTTTAAATAACCTTTTATAATCACAACCAACTTTTATTTAATAATAAAAGAACTTTTCTTTATACTTATAATTTATTTCTAAATTAATTTCAATTAATCTATAATTTAGTAATTCGTAATGCTTATCGAAATAATAATAAAATAAAACCTTTACTAAAATCAATCCTCTTAAAATCAATTCCCCCCTTTAAAAATAATTTTCCCTTAAAAACAATCTCACCAAAAATGTATATTGTCTCATAAGTATAAGTCAACTAAAATTGATAATCCCGTCTAAAATAAATCAACATCAATCGTGTGCGCTTCCGTATCCGCACATTCACATTATTCACAATTCACACATTCGTACACTTCAGCGCTTTCATGCGTGTGTATGTCTTTATCTATCTGCCTCTATTTTACCCGCAATTTACATTTACCGCATTTATTTTATCGCATTGCATTCTGTCCAAAGGAAGAACTTGCACGTAACGTAAAACTTGCGTGTATACATCCCATTTGCATCATTTTTCCATGATCCTTGATCCCAATCAAGTCGATCTCTTAAGTTTAGATCCTACCCCATAGGAAGGACCTTTGTTTTATCTTTACAACATAGGAAAACAACTCAATCAAACACATATTCAAACATTAGAGAATAAGATGTTAATCATCTTAAGCGAGATAAAACTCCTACCCCATAACAATTCAATCAATATGTAGGAACTTTGCCTTAAGAGAGATAGTGGCATACTTGTCAATTAAATTCCGAGTACTTAAGCATTTCTCTTAAGACGATTCAAAGACTATTTTCCTACAAAGTTGTGGTGGTTCAAATCAAAGTAATCTCCCTTGAAATGACAACTCATCTTTTCTCCTAAAATCAATCAATCAACTACCCTTTATCCCGTAGGAACTTTGACCACAGTCAAAGAACTCCTCAAACCCTTTAGGGGAACTATAGATACTCTGATTCCACTCCCGTAAGTATATGTAGGCATAAGATGCGATATCTTATCGAGTATACTTAGATATAAACCCATAGGTCTTTCATCCTTTAAGCAGATAACCCTTAGCAATAAACAAACATAAACAAGAGGATCCTATAGAGTACTACAGAAACTTAGGATGCTAGCACCTTCCCTAAGTTTAACCAACCCCCGAACCTATAACTCTCTAGCTTGCATTTTCATTGCATTGTGGGTATTTCGATCTTTTTCCCTTCCTTTGGAAAAATCAAAGTTCGGTTGCAAAATGAATTAAGATTCAAGCTCATCAATAGCTTGGTATCCAAATTTCACCGCGACAGTGTTTTCAACTCAATTTGCGCAATGTATACCTTTTCAAAAGTGGTGTCAATTCATCTGGCGCTAGTGTGTATTGATATTTTTTTAAAACATAAGTAATAAACATTAACATTTAATTTAAAATACTTTTACAAACACTAACGATGACGACCAGGTTAGTCATACCGCCAACCAGTTTCACACTCATAGATACTCTAACTCGTTGCACTCGTTGTTGATCCACCCTGGATGTTTGAGGATTTAAGGTCTTAGGAACATCCCCATAATCTCTAAGAATTTCTTTCATTTCTTTGAAGTCTTGTGTATGAAGCAACACACTTCCGTAACTAAGTTTGCGATCGATTACAAAGTAGTTGGGATATGTTGATGGGGTTATTAGTGCGTGCTCGGAACGATTGAAGAGAGACATTGGTGAAGGTGAGAAAATACTTAGAAGGGGGGTTGAATAAGTATGAAAGATTAAAAACTTAGAATTAAAACACAATTATTTTTATCCTGGTTCGTTGAACTCAACTACTCCAGTCCACCCTTCCTAGAGTGATTTGCCTTTCTCAACAAGGACTTAATCCACTATTTAATCAAACAAATTACAATAGTAACACCTAAGAACAATTGTTCTTAGTCTTCTCAAGAGCTACTGATTCCAAATGAATCCTCTTAAGGAAATCCTTTACAATCAATGTAAATCTAATACAAGAGTAAGAATGCTTCTACAAAGCTTTTATCACAACAGTGATATTTCTCTTAAGTTTAAGTACAAATAATTCTAAGAATGAATATGAGAATATGAGAACTTGAATGTGTCAATTTCTTTTCAGCAAAATGTCCAACTGAAGAATTTGGTGGAGTCTTCCTTTTATAGGCAGCTGATCCAAGGAGAGCTGAGCGTTGAGAAGAGTGTCCCAAAAAGGTCTGAGCCTTTTTTGTCTTCACATCAAGTGACCTTTCCTAGAAGAAGAAAGCGCAGAAAAATCCTTTTTGTCTGTGTTCTTGTGTCTAGCATAAATGAGGAAAGAGACGTTTGATTTTCTCCAACGGATATATTCTTTGAATATTTCTTCTTCAGTTTTCAGCAAGTTCATCAGAGTCTGATTGGGTCAGAGTCTTCTAATGATGATCAGAACTTTGCTGGATCAGAGTCTTCTGCAGCATGTGTGCTTTCAGCGTGTTAAAAATCAGAGCATATTTGAAACAGAACTTCAGTACTGGCAGCTTTAGTACTTTCATAATCTTCTGTAGAAACTATGCTTTGAAAAGCTCTTCATACAATATTCTTCTTAGCTTCAGATGCTTCTGACTTGCTTCAGATGCTTCTGCTTGCTTCAGATTCTTCTGGAGCTTCTGCTTCAGAATCTTCTGGAGCTTCTTGCCTTAGATCCTTCTGGAAGCTACGCTCAGGATCTTCTGTTGACATCAATCAGAATCTTCTAATGAGTGCATCTGGCGCTTCAGAGTCAGTTAATTTCTTGTATACAATTCAGATTTGCTTCTGGAGTGTTAATTTCTTTACTATCTGCAGTAAAACCTCTCAAGCAAATTTTAGAGTATATAATTCTTAAATACAAAATTTTCTAATAGTTATCATCAAAACAAAGAGATATTATTAAGAACCAATCTGTGTTCTAACAATTGGTGTGAATGATTCGTTGGAGAAAGGTTGAAATAATTGTTATGGTGTTTGGTAGCCATATGGTTATTGTGATGTTTGGGTGTTTTGGCTATGCTAGGAGGAAAGGTTGGTGTTATATGTTTCTTAGGTGTTTTGGCTATGGTAGAATGATGTGTTGGGGCATATGCATTTTGGGTGTCTTAATAATAGTCATCTTGTTGGCGATGGTATGGGGGACGCTCTTAGTATTGTGGTTGGGTGTTTGGCATGTTTTGATTTTAGGTTCGTGTGTTTGGGGGTCAATAATTTTGTTGGGTAGGGGCTCGTGAGTAATAGGTCTGATAATTTTGTGGGGGGTAGACGTTGAAGTTTCTTGTGTGTAAGTGGTTTGGCATGGGTCGTATATATACTTATCTTCGGAGACAAACTCATTTGCAACTGATCTGTACCAAGTCATATAATTATTAGTTGGTTTAAATTAGGTTGGCAACACAACGTCACATAAGACATGGTCACAGCGGTACCTCCATTTAGGACACTCAGATTTAGCGAAATCCTACCAATTGTCAAAGTTCCATTGTTCATTAATTTTTCGTTGGTGCTATTGTCTGAGGCACGTCGAGGGATCTGGGATATTTTGAAGCATTTCAAATTTCACTTTCACACAATCACTATGGAGTTCGGTGTTACGGTTGTGGCAATTATTCAGTAAAAGTTGCATGAAAGTGATGGAGGAAATTCTCAAGGCTAGCACACATGACTTTACAATCTTTGACCGTCATATACACACTTTTAGTGTAAAGGAAATAATGGACCACAATAAGGGGAGGCCGAATTGAGACTATCGTGTCCAATTGAATAGAGGTTGGTACGACTGTGACAACTTTCAAGCCTTATGTATGCCTTGCTCTCATGCCATTGCAACATGTTCGTAGCTCGCCAGGAAGCTTTCAAGCATCTATCAAATGTTTACAAAGTCATTAATCTTTTAAATGTGTACAACAATAACTTCTCAGTGGTAGCAATGGAAGATTATTGGCCTACATATCAAGGGGGAATAATTTGACACAATAAAAATATGTGACAGAAGAAAAATGATCACCCTAACAGCACGTGTTTTAGAACAGAAATTGATACGACTGATAAAATAGTAAGATTATGTGGTATATGTTGTCAATTAAGACACAATCGGACAAATTATCCCAATATCGAAGCAAGATCTACGTGATCATTTATTTTTTCTTTAAATTTTTGTAACCTTGATATTTATAATTTATATAAAAACTTTTGGTTACAACATAAATAACATAAACACCCTTAAAAAACAGTTTCTGCACGCGAACAACATATGACATAGCATACCAACATAAATACGCAAAAACAACAACACAAACAACAAATAAAAAAGACTTAACCCACAACATGTCTAAGAGATTAGAACAATCAAACAATATCATTTATTACGGACATGATATCCCTAACACTGTTCTCATCTTTAACTCACGCCCATTTGCGCTGGATAATATTATTTTCACTTTTTATTTCATAATAAATAGCAGTTCAATTTAAAATGAAAAGAAATACAAATAATCAAAGAATGTATTTATATTTTTCAAATAACAAAAAAACAAAAACATTGCTCCATAGACTACACTTTACAGGAACAATAAAATCAATTAAATAAAAAGAGTAAAAGAACAACTAACTCACAAGAACAGATGAGAAATTTACAAATTAATTGTGATACTGTGCTGATGAAGTGGTAGTTGGAACAACCACGGTAGTTGACGCACTAACAGAAGAAGCATTAGTGGTTGAAAATCCTTCCATTTCACCACCGTTCAAACCCGCCGCCCACCGCCGTAAAATCCTCAACAACGTTGCGGCCTTCCTTCTCCCTCTCACACTCCCGACCGCCATTAACTCCCAAATCACCCTTTCCACTCCATGAATAGCTGCAAGCTCAGTCACAATCTCCGATCCACCTTTCCTACACATGGTCACAAGCGTCGCTGCGGCACTCTCCCTTGCTCTCTCCGATCCCTCCCTCAACACCTTCCCCAATTTCTTTATCCCCATAAAAGCAGCTGCCACCGCCACCAATCCTCCACGCTTAACCACTGCTTCAAGTATCGTCACAGCTTCCTCCGGCATTCCCGTCATAATCTCCGCCGTCATCTGCACAGCACCACTCTCAACTAACCTCGCCACCGTCTCACGATCCGACGCCAGATTCAGAATCGCCGCAAGCGCGTCCCGTTTCGCTCCCTCAGGCCCACACTTCGCTAACTCTACCAATCCACTAACGACACGTATCTTTCTCCCTAAACGTTTTCTAAAAGCCACAACTCCCGTTAAACTAAACACCGTAGCCGCAGCATTCGATTTAGCCTCCCACGTGGCACCTGTTCGTAAAACCTCCGTTATTCCATTTAACGCCCCGTCACTTTCCATTATCCTTGTCTTGTTCGCTTCAAGTATCGAAAGATTTAAAATCGTTGTAACAGCGTTAACCTGTAGGCTCGGGTGTTGCGAACCAGCTTCATAGCTTAAAAACCGAACCAAAAGCTCTATGGCTCCAGCTTCGGCTATACAGGCTCGGCTCTCTGAATCTGTTTTCGATAACACCCGAAGCTCATAAACGACAGCGTTTGTATCTTCCCCTGAAAGTAATGACCCATTATTCAACTTGTTGACTAAAAATGACGCCGTCATTCTTGTGGCTTCAAATGCTGTTTTATTCGTCACCCCGCCGTTTATTTTAACGGTAACCGTTTCATCATCAAACGGAATTTTCTGTTCTCGGCACCACAAAGCTATCATGTTTCTCAAAGCATGGTTAGGTATTAAATCCGTGTGGACCAGGGTCTGACCTGTTTTCGGACACGTGTTGTGTCCAGATTCAATCCATAACTTAATGGAGGCACGATCGTACGTCTGTCCTGTTGCCACGACAACAGGATCCCGAATCAGTTCTAAGCTTATCGGACAACGGTAATCCGACGGAACAACCACATCCAACGACTGATTCCGCCGTAGCGTCTCGTTTCTCGTCGACGGTGTCGATGCTCCGAAGAGAACACACTTCGCATAACGAACGAGGCCGATCAAAGCAACGATTTCGGATTTCGATTGTTCTTCGCTTCGATTCTGAATCTCTTCTTGGAGATTTTCAATCTCACTTCTGCAACTTGATGAATCGCGGATCTCCAATTTCTCGAAAATCGAAGATAGCTTTTCTTGATTCGGGATAATCTCTCTTTTAATCCCTTCGAGAACAGAAACGACATCGTTTCGGAGCTTAGTTTGTTCTTCTCCTAATTGAAGTTTTGATTCTGAACACTGTTTTTTGATGAGATGAACAATCTCCAAAACGTCGTCGTTGAGGCTAAACTGTTGAATCGGAAAAACATCAAGAAGCGTTGATAATTCTCCGGTGAGTTTGTTAAAATTATCAGCAACGGTTTCTATTTGCATCAAAACAGAGAATTTACTTCCATTGGAACAATCTTCAATCAAGGTTTTAATTCTGTGTAACACTATGTACATTTCTTCAAGACAAAGAACAAACGAGTTTGAACATAGAGTAGTTGAAATTGAAATTGAATTGAAATTGCAAACTAGTTCTTCGAAAACGACGCCAAGTAGCTGCGTTTTACGGATGGTGGAAGAGGAGGTTTTGTTCAACAGAAAACGACACCAAGGAGCTGCGTTTAATGAACCTATTTGGTGTGTGAGGTGTAACAGAGAGTGTAGAAGATTAAAGTTATTGAGGTTTGGAGAGATAAACGACGACTCTGAAGGTGGTCGTTTAGTTGTTGGAAAAGTTTGAGGTGATATTGCCATGGTTTTTGTGAAATGGTGATTGTAGTTTAAGTGTATGATAGAATTGTTATTATCAGAAGAAGTAAAGGAAGAATGAAGATGATTATGATGACTTTTCATTGAAGAAGCCAAAAAATGGGATTATTATTTAAGCGATTAAAGAAAGAAACTTATATATTCTAAAACAATTTGGGTAGCCGTTGTTTTTTCTCTGCGTGTAAAACTCAAACTTGTTGAATCAATGAAACATGGGTCTGCTTTGCTGGCTTGGTTTTATTAACAATCATTAATAATAATAATAATAATAATAATAATAATAATAATAATAATAATAATAATAATAATAATAATAATAATAATAATAATAATAATAATAATAATAATAATAATAATAATAATAATAATAATAATAATAATAATAATAATAATAATAATAATAATATTATTATTATTATTATTATTATTATTATTATTATTATTATTATTATTATTATTATTATTATTATTATTATTATTGCAACTTGTAATGGTTTTCAACTTTGACTGTGTTTTTGTTTGATAAAAGTTGTTGTTGATGTTATATATATATATATATATATATATATATATATATATATATATATATATATATATATATATATATATATATGCACTAGTACACCGATTTCCTTGGTGGTGAGCTAGTTGACAATTATTTTTTGTGTACAATTATTTGGTCAAATTCATTCATATTGATAATGTGTGTGAAATAAAAGTATATTGCGGCTATTTGCTAAACTAGACTTTAAGTTTTATGTTATTTAGTCTATTTATAAATTGTGCAATTAAAATGTGAATTTTGATTATCTCAAAGATTTAATAGTCAATGGAAGTTTATTAACTATTTTAGTCTAACTAGTTGATTTATTGAATATTAATATTACCTATAGTACTGGTTTATGTGTATTATAATTGTTATTATTATTATTATTATTATTATTATTATTATTATTATTATTATTATTATTATTATTATTATTGGCATTTTCTTGACTTTGTATGTTTTGCCTAATAGTGGTTTGATCAAGTTAGTGAGGCTGCCAATTGGTAAGGGTTGGTGTAGACTTAGTTGTCAATAATATTTCATGGTCATCCATCATTGTATTAAAATATATACTAAAATATATATTCTGAACCAATCAATTATTTAAGAATCACTCTTTGGGATGGTGGTATGTATCCATTCTAGAAATTTATATTCACGAAAGTTCTTTTGTTAACTTTTTTTGTTCTCTTTTGAAAAAGTTTTCCTTTTATTACTTTATTACAAAAATAAAAAGTATATAGAATATATGCTTATTGAATATTATGTATTATTAGCAATAATTTTGTCTTACTTTTTACTTATTTTGCGTTATCTTACTAAAAAAATAATGATTCTATCTTTTTATATAGTAGAGAACAAATTTAGATAAAAAGTTAAAGATAATGGTTATGGTTCTTGAATGATTTGAGGATATTTGCAAAATGTTAGTAATGATGCATTATGGTTTAAATGAGGTGTAACTTTGTAAGAGTTTGTTAAAAAAGTATTTATAGATAATTTAATGTCACATTTATTATAACCATTTTTAGTTTGTCCGATATTTTGGACAATATTTAGTGAGGTGATAGTTGGATGTATACTTTTATAAAGTGTTCAAGAATTATATAAAATGTTCAAGAATTAAGATATAATTTAATATTTTAGTATTTAGTCTAAGTGATATTATTGTTTGTGTATATAAGTAGTATTGTATTTAGCCATTAAGTAATATAATTAAAACACACTATATAATAGAGTAGTGGTGTAACCATTCTTTGTGTGTAACCGTTAGTGGATTAGGAGTGGAAGTTTGTTAGAGTTTTTATTCTCTCTCTCCATCTTCATCTTTTTCACCTTGTGCACCAACAATTGGTATCTAGAGCTCGGTTCAGATTCACGCGGAAACACATGGAAACACGAATGAACGGTGAGGCGTTGTGTGATTGATTTCGTATCTTGAATTTGTGTTGAATTTCTTGATTGGTATCGTAACAAAATCACATTTCTTGATTATGCGGGACTGGGAAACACTAGTGTTTGGTGAGATCAGAGTGAACTACACAAGGTCAAAGATGAACGAAAATGGTAATCTGAGTACCAAGCTTCTAGTGTTTGATGGCAAGAACTGGAATCATTGGATGATTCAGATGCGTGTGTTGTTTGGGGCTCAAGATATTCTTGATCTCTTCAATGACGGTTACGTTTCGGTTGCACTTCCAGAAAATGCAACGGACGCGTAGCGGAATGATCATCGTGATCTGAGAAAGAAGGATCAAAAGGCGTTGTTCTACATTCATCAATGTGTGAGTGTGAACGTGTTTGAGAAGATCGTTTATTCGACAACAACGAAGGCTGCGTGGGAAACACTGGTACGCTGCTACGAAGGTGATACATTAGTGAAGAAGGTGAAACTTCAGTCTCTACGTAAGCAGTATGAGAATCTCAGCATGCAGAATAATGAGAAGGTACCTGACTACATCTCCATAGTGATTCTGATCACAAATATGATGAAGCAGTATGGAGAAACTCTCAATGAAGAAAAGATCATTGAGAAGGTACTTATATCTCTTACTCCTTAGTTTGATTACAGTGTTGTAGCAATTGAACATTCTAAGGATCTTAACACCATGAGAATTGAAGAGCATCAAAGTAGTCTAGAGGCACAAGAGTTGCGTCTGACTGAGAGAAACTCTGAAAGAGAGGTAGAACAATAGGCTCTAAAAAAAACTTCTGCTAAGAAGTATCAGAAACAGCCATGGTCAGAAACCAGGAAGAAATCTTATGGTGTTCAGGAGTTAGAAACCTCAACTCATTGAAGGCAGAAAAGTACTCAGAAGGAGAATGAGAAGTAAGACAAGAGAAAGGTTCAATGCTACTGTTGTAAGAAGTTTGGCCACTTCATTGCGGATTGCTAGTCAAAAAAGGAAAGGAAGTCAAAAGAAGCAAATGTAGCCAGAAAAGATTCTGATGATGAATCTGTGTTATTAATGGCTTCTGAATCTGATGATACATATTTGACAGACTGGTGGTATATGGACACTGACTGCTCAAATCATCTTATTGAAAATAAGAAATGGATGGTTGACTTTGACTCTAGAAAGAGGACAAATATCAGATGTGCTAAGGATAAATACCTCAACTCTGAAGGTATGAGAAATATCAGAGTACTTCTGAATAGTGGTAAAACAGAATTGATTCAGAATGTGTGGTATGTGCTTGGCATAAAAATCAATCTAATGAGTGTAAGTCAATTAATTAAGAAAGGTTTTTTAGTTACCATAAAGGACAATCTTTTGATGTTGTATGACTGTAATCAGAAACTGACTATGAAGTCAGAACAAGGAAGAAATAGAACATTCAAAGTGAATGTTAAAATTTTAGACCCTGAATGCCTGAGTGCAATAAGTGTTGTGAACGAAAGTGAGTTGTGGCACAAAATATTTGGTCATATGAACTTCAAAAGCTTAGGGCATCTAAATTCGAAAAAGATGGTACATGGAATTCCTAAAATTAAGAAGCCAGAGAAGTCATGCAATGTGTGCATGAGAGGGAAGCAACCAAAATTTCCATTTGCATCTAAAATGCTTCCAAGAGCAAAACATGCTTTGGGTGTGGTGCATTATGATGTGTGTGGATCATTTCCAATACCTTCACTTGGAGGGAACAAATATTTTGTGTCATTTGTGGATGTGTTAATATGTCTGACGTGGGTATCCTTTATAAACTTCAAACATGAGGTGTTTGCTGAATTTAAAAAATTCAGAATCAAGGCCGAGAATCAAAGTGATCAGACTCTGAAGATTCTCATAACTGATGATGGAGGTGAGTATAACTCTACTGAGTTCAAAAAGTTCTGTGAGGAAAATAGAATTGAGCATGAGGTGATTGTTTCATACACTCTTCAATATAATGGTCTTGTTAAAAGAAGAAACTAAACTTTGCTTGATATGACAAGAAGCGTGTTAAAGAAGAAGAAGCTATTTCACACCTTATGGGGAGAAGCTGTTTCCACTGTAGCATATGTGCTAAACAGGTGTCTAACCAAGAAGCTGGAGGAAATTGTTCCTTTGGAGAATTGGACTGGAGATAAGCAAAGTGTGAGTCTTTTAAAGGTGCTTGGTTATGTATGTTACAAACATGTTCCAAATTCTAAGAGAAGGAAGTTGGATGATATAAGAAGAGTTATGTTGCTTGTAGGGTACCACAATACATGTGCTTATGAGCTTTATTGTCCTATCACTAACAAGGTTGAATTCAGCAGAGACATCATTGTAAAAGAATCAAAATCGTGGGATTGAAGTGAATCTTAATCCAACTTTGGTGTGGTATTAACACCTGAGTTAACTTCTGAATATGAAGGTTCTAAAGATGAGTCAGAATCAGAAGTTGATTTTGATGGTGAGTCTGAAGGTACACTGAAGCTGAAGAAGACTCTGAAGGTGAATCTGATTCTGATCCAGATTCAGATGGTGATTCAGACTCTATTGGTGATTCAGACTCTGGTAATGTTCCATACTTTGAAGGTGGTCATGCCTCTGAAGATGGTACTTCCGGGGTTCCAGTATCTGATACTATTCTAGAGCCCGAAGACGATTCTGAACAAGTTTACAGGGCACAAAGAATTATAAACATACTAAGGTGATTTGTAGAGTTTGATATGTTGCAAGATACTGAAGTAGACTCTGAAGGGGAAGCCATTCAGTATGCCATGTTAGTGAGCTCTGAACTAGTCAGTGTTGAAGAAGCGCCCAAGAAGAAAGTATGGATGAAGTCTATGAAAGAAGAACTTGAGGATATCAAAATAATTAAGACTTGAAAGTTGACTGGCCTTCCAAAGGACAAGAAAGCCATCAATGTCATATGGGTTTTCAAGGTGAAACTAAAACCATATGGATCATTGGAAAACACAAAGCAAAGTTAGTAGCAAGAGGATTTCTACAAAAACCTGTGTTAGATTACATTGAAGTGTTTGCTCCTGTAGAGAGGCATCAAACAATCAGACTGGTGATTGTAATAGTTTCTAGCAGGAATTTCCATCTGATGCATTTAGATGTGA